CCAGTTCATCATTTGAGTTGAAAGCAGAGCTCCAGATATCGTCGGCCTTGCGCTTGAATTGGAGAAGGTTGACGACCATGTCTGCTTCTCTCTCCGGATCGAACACGATCCCTTCACCCTCTTCGACGATGTATTTCTTGAAGGCACCCTTCAGCTTGAGGGTCAAATCCCGTCGATCAAGCAGATTGTAGAGCTGTTTCAGGGCATCCTTATTTCCGGCTCGCATCAAAGTAAGCACATCGTTGTCGTTGGTCAACAGGTCGGTTTGCTGTACGATCAGAGTCTCATCCAAGAGCTCGGACAGCTTCAACCTCGTGCTGCGGGCAAAAGAGAACAAATTGCAGCGTTCCACTTCACGTTCAATCAAGCGACGGGTATTGTCGACGTATGTAGCCAGGTTTCCTGCAACTTCCCGTTGACACCACGAGGTAACAAACTTCTCGGACTCGGCCATCAATAGAGGTTCGAAGTCACTGCTGTAAACATCAAGATTGTGGAACAGTTCCATAGCCTCTCTTAGCAGGGCCGAGTCCGCCAGTGCCGCGACATCTCCGCCTCGATCAGCAGCAATTAAGTTGTATGCACCCTTCAAGATCTTCGGCTTCAAGCTGGAGTCATTAAAGATATAAGACCGGAACTGGATCAGTCCCATTTCCCGGATTACAGGCTGGTCTTTAGAATGCAGGAGGAACGACTGGTCGAGATAATAGAATATCCAACGGACCGTAACCTGTAAAACAATCAGCATCAAGTACCGTACCCAATCACCACAATTCCCAGTTCGGTTCACATACAAGTCTCGAATGCCACGCGGACCACGTCTCAAGAACAGCCCGCAATGTATCAACATCCGTACTCCCAGCCGCCCTAGCAACAAGACCCTCCCTCATCTTCCCATTAACATAATCCCGACACCGATCCTGAAGCCTCCTCGCCAATACAGCAGCGCGCTCCTGTCGACAAATATTCTCCCCACCCTTGTAAAGCTCCTCAAGCGAAGAATCCGGCTTCCGGCCATCAAAAACAGCCGTCAAAGCCGCATCAAGCTGCGACCAAACCTTATCAAAATAAGACTCCTGATTAAGCCGCGGCCCAAGCCTCAAGTTCTTAACAACAAGCTTCTTTGCGCCCGTATGTGGAGAGAAGTTGCTTTGCCGAGCACCGACATTCAAAGCCTGCGGTCGACCCGGCACGCCGCCGCCGACGCTGACGTTATTCAACCCAGATCCAGACCCAGAGCCAGGCCCCGACGACGCGCCCCGAAGCGGTGCGCCGCTCCTAGGCGGGGATCCGGAAAATTGATACATCTGATTCGGGGCCGGATGGGTGGGTTTGCGAGTGGGAGATGGGGAGCGGCGAGGCCGCTTGTGGGACTGGAGGAGGTCGGAGATGGATCGTTGCGGCGATGGGGAGAGCTTTCTCTTGCCGGACTGGCGCTTACCGCTCCTCTGATCGCCTTGAGAGTTTTGCTGCATCTACCCGATTTGGCCCGACGGGGATGATGAATGGTGGATCGAGATGGGGATCGGGGGAGGTTGAGGGGATGAACTCGGCGCGATAAGATAGAGCTCTCTAGGGCGGACTTGAACTTCATATATACAGTACGGAAGAGATCTACTCTTTATATTTGTATGCACATATACTTTACCTATGCATTTTCACTCTGGGCATTTGTCCTAGAGCTACCTAGGGAGACATTGCAGCTTATATCCCCGGAAAATGTGATAATGTCACCTCTTGCCGCTTTTCGACGAGTCAAATTGAGCTGTGTTCTCCATCTTCTCCCTCTTCTCTACATCTCACCATTCTCTTCACATGGATGAATTTGAAATCAATGACCTGTTTTCGATCGACGAATTCGACTGGAATAAGCAAGATGAAACCCCAACCATCTGCGCCGCAGGGCAATCCAATCCCGCATTGCTCAAAGCTATCTTGGCATATCACACAGCACGCAGCACAGACGAATGCCTGCCTGTTCAAACATACATACAAATAGAAAGTCTATCGCCAAACTATACCATATCCGGGGCACTCAATGGTAACTGGGAATCTCCCATGACAGCTGCCATCCGCGCCAATCCTCCCCACAATGTCCGACTTCTTCTGGGTGCGGGCGCGGATCCTTATGGCACAGCTTGAGGAGTATGGAGGACTATTCAGTCCGATTTCAACTAACTCATTTACTCGTGGGACTTGTGGTTATAAATACCGAGTCATACTTCATACTAACAAAAGTCTACCAATCAAACAGTGAAATCATCATATAGTTAATCGTGGACAAAGAAAAGCCATGCAACGCTGATAAGATACAATCATCAATGTACTTGTCCACTGTTCTTTTTGTGTTTTGGTTTATTTTTTTCTTGGTTCGTTTGTCAAAAGAAATGAATATGTATGCATAAAACAGGCACCATAAACAGGGCGTAAACTCATCATCGGCCTTGGAGCATGTATCGAGCACCGAGAAGGGAGTACCAAAACCCCATCAATCGACACGAGGGGGACTTCTTGATTTCTTGCCCATGGGACTTGCGCTCGTTCTGTAGGGTATGAATTAGCTTTTAATCGCAATATAATGGGGTCGCAGGGGAGCATACGATCTCCGACGCTCGCCTTCCTTCCGGAACCCTTCAATGATCTTAGCCATCTCTTTACGAGAAGCGTTTGCATCGACCTTCCGCCCTCCAAGACTCATGCTCACTTTCTCATGCGCGCTAGCCTGTAGCAAACGCTTCATGAGTAGATGGCGCATATTCATGCAGACGAATACGCCACAATCACTGCCGCCGTCTTGTTGGGGCGAATCGCTCAAATGCATAAAGCGGATTGGCATGTTTAAGAGATATCCGAATTTACGGGTGACGGTATCTGCTTCCCAGACGTTTCCTTGGTATAGCGAGTCATAGTGGAAAGCGATGCGGTCAACGATGGAGATCAATAGCAGGGACCAATGTGTGCCTCCTTCTGCTTCGTTGACATTGCGGCAGTCGTTTATTGGTAGGAAGACGTGAGTGGCGTTGCTGAAATCTGGGAGAGCTTCGCGGAGGGTTCGTGGATCGGGTGTTTGGAGGATCATGAAGGACATGCTTGGGCGGAGGAGGATGATGTTGGATGATTTGTAGCGGGTGAGAAATTCATGTTCGAGGTATCTGGATCAATTGAGTTGCAATCAGCCACTTGTTTCGGTGCTGGTTTCCGGTTCGGTTTCGAGGGGTTCTGGACTTACTCCTCCCAAAATGAAATAATCTGTTATGTATTAGCTCAAGTGTCCAGCCAGGAAGATTGTCTCGCCAAACCCACATTATCTGTGAGCCAGTCGTTCTTGAGAGTTTGCATGTCCTCTCTTGTCACTGCTTGTACGTCAGCTACCAGCTATTGCTGTGCTCGTTCGGGGAATTGGACCATACATCGCACGTCATAGTCTGGGGGCACCCGAGGGCTGTCTGTAAGTATACCGCTTGGCAATCGCGAGGTCCGGGCTCTCTTCCGGGGACTCACAACTCAAAAAGGCATCCTCGGGGTTCAACTGCATGGAGTTAGCAACTGCACCAATCTCGACATCGACTCCGAGATCCAACTCACCATATCACCAAACCTCCCCCGTACTTTCCGCAACTTGTTCATGATGGCAATATGCGCAACGGTTCACGGGAAAGAAAGTATATCCAAAAAGGGCAGCAGTCGCAAAGAGCCTCGAAATATGTACTGCGCCACCGTCTCAACCGCGCAACACGTACCGACTCCTAATATAGCCCGACTCCACAATATGCAGTGCCGACGACGATCCTCTGTGCAGAAGTCTCAAGCCAAGAGCGCGGCCCACAGGATAAAAGAACGTAGATATGAATAGAGCACAGTGGCCAGAGGCGAACGACAACTGAACTGCGATATCCCCAATTCTGCAGAGAAGTGGGAGTGGGACCCGGGGCGGGTTCTGGGTCGGGATTGGACGGTTCCTCGGAGGATGAGGCCGACAGCCTTACGGGGTCGACGAAGGGATCGAAACGGGCTGGATGAGGGCGGAGGGCAGGTTGATGTGTTTCAATGGCGCATTTTTGTCTGAAGCGGGCTTGGAGCGGGGTGTGTCGATCTTGGTGATGTACAGAGGAGGGTTGACTGGAAATCACCCGTGTGTCTGGTACCGAGGCTGTTTTCTTTTATCGGGCTTGGGGGTCGAGGGTTGGGAGGGTATGAGCGAATCCTCAAAAGGACTGACTCTGGTGCCTGGCTAGGAATGCTCCCTGCGATAGTTGGGCACTGGCGTCACATGCAGGGTCACATGATCTGATCAGAGATGTTGGTCTTTTGTCATTCTTTGGGGTTTTTTTCTTATTTTCTATCAAAGGGAAGAATTATCTTAGCTGATTCTCGGCGCTTGGAGTACTGGTATACTGGTGTCAAAGAAGATCCATGGATGGTATAAACTTCGATTGTTCCAGTGTACTCCGTACCAAACATAGATATACTTCTCTAAAAGGTTAGCGACTATTACACACAGACTACAGAGAAAGCAAGTTTGAATAGAAACCGAATGATTCGTAAACTGAAAAAGAAAAAGGGGGTATCTAAACACATGGCCCATAGCCCCGGAAGATCAAAGATATCCAGGAACCGTAGGGGAAAAAAGGGAAAAAAAAAAAAAAAGAAAAAGAAAACAAACTGCTAAGCAGCGAGCATGAAATGGCCCCGGGAAAAGAAATAAAGCAAATCAAAAAGTGGCAGATAAGAAGGCAAAAGATATGCAAGCAGATGCGCCACTTTGTAGTTGTTGCCCTGGTCATCCATCCGTGGGGGTATTATGGCAATATGAAGACATCATGAGATAAAAGAAACAAAGCTGGAACATGATATCGTAGACCATATTCGAGAGCCAACATCATTTTTTTTGTAATCCTTTTGGTCCTGTTTCCTGGTTCTTTGTTGTATTTGTTGTATTTTTGTTTCGGCATATCAAGAACATGGTCAAATGGTCGGTCGTCGGTGATTGGGTGGTTGATCTAGTCTCGGATTTTAGCAAAATGCTTGTTCCAAATCCATCCAACCGTGTGAGTGACATCGTCCTGGTTACGGGCAAGCCAGAGCTCGCCCTTTTCGCCAATGACGTCGAAGACGTCGCCAGAGACGTATGTTAAGTATGAATATCCACCCTCGCTGCGGGCGTCGATATCAAAATTGTAAAGGCTGGCTGCGCAAAAGAGAACAGCGGGTGCCGCGGAAGAGCCGGTGTTTATCGGAGCCGCTGGGGGCTCGTTGGGCGTATCGGACATGGGCATAGCGGACGAGAAGAATCCAGAGTAGCGGCCGGCGGGAGAAGACGGAACATCGGTTGAGTGTGTGCTGCTGATCACATCTGCCAGGAAAGGTGTGTCCAGGCTGAGCTGGGGCAGGCTTGGGAAGGGCTCTGTTTCAGATGTTCGAGCCGGGGTGCTGGAGCCGGTTACTTGCTGCAGCAATTTGCTGGGGCCGTCTGATACGACACGACCAGACAAAGTGGAATCAGCGCGGTAGCGGCTGCTGCGAACTGACTGGCCTTCCATTTGGGGTGACTGGAATGGATGGCTTCCGATGCTGAAGTCACGAGACACCTTGGGTGAATCTTCTGTCATGGACCCGGGTCTGGTAGAGCTGTTGATTGTTGAAGACCGGCGAGGAGAGGTTATTCCGGTTTCATTTGAGGGCGACATGGGCACCAGATTGAGTGACGAGGTTAGCATGGACCCGTTGCAAGAACTCAGCTCTGACATTCGAGCTTCCATAAGAGTGTGGTCAGAGTGGAAGTCGGTGATGAGCTTATGAAGATCACTGGGGAATGCTTCAACGTGGGCTCCAATCTTTTTCTGCAACACACCAAACCAAGTAGTTTGGATCTGAATGAAGTTTTTGAGACAGGCTTCCATCAGCTTTGAAGTCAGGGCGTAAAGCTTGGGCAATTCGTCTTTGAGTGTCTCATTCAAAGCCACAAACTGCTCTCCTTGTTCGGTGGTTTTCTTGTCTGGTTTGTCACCACGGTCATTGATGGCTTTGTAGCGCGCATATTCCGGTAGCCGCTTGTCTCGCTTTCTCATGATTCGCTGTGGTCCCTCGTAAATCTGAAGCAGTTGGACCATCGGGTCGATGACTGATTTACGGACAACCTCAAGCTGTAAAATGTTAGAGATGTTTTACTATATAGACATGTCGCAACTCACGTGTGCCGGCAGCGCTTCCGTCGTGATTTCCTGAACTGTTAGTTTGAATAGATGCCACTTGCTCTCCAGCTCTGGATAGCTGGACTGCTCCATGGATGTCATGCTGACAATGGCACCAGTATACTCGCTGAACTGGTCTATGTACTGTTGAATATCCTTGGTGTAGCTCTCCGCATCACGCATGACCACCTGCAACTGGAAGTACCCGTCGCCGAGTTTCTGCGCCAAAGCATCATAAGTTTTATCTTCGAACAAATCGGAAAGCCCAACTTGTTGTCTGAACTTCTCCGTGCGACGACCAAATGCCTTTGACAGACCAGCACGCACATCTGACTGGTTGCGCTTCCGACCGACAGCTCCAACAATTTCCACTCGCTTTTTGAGCTCGTTGATACGGTCAGCAATGCCCGCGGTTTGTTCCATTGCCTTGGCAATTGCGGCTCTGTCCGGGTGATCATTTGGCGTGGATTCCAGAAGTTGGCCTAGAAGTAGCGGGAATTTCGTGATTCGTTGCACTGGTTTAACAAGCAAAGCGTCGAGATTCCAGGCTCTAGTGATATCCCCTGCAAAACGGTGGCATTCGTCCAGCCAGATGGCCACCTTTGGATTCTTCAATAGAACCGTGAGCTTCTTGGTGGCGGCTTCATGGTTCATCAAGTATTCAGTGTACACCTTTTCCATTTTAGCCATGTGGGAGAGGAAAACACGACCAACAGCTGTTCCACGATCCTTTTCAAGATCCGACAATTTGTCACCCTCGGGATTTTCATTGATTGTGGAGGGAGATCGGTCGATTCCGAGACCATTCTTGCGATTGCGCCTGCTACTCCACCGTTGGGACAGTGGTATGACATAGACCTGCTTGACTGCTTGCTTGAGGTCGACCAAGAAGGCATCGGAAAAATCTGCTACTTCTCCAATATTGCCGAAAAGAATCTTGACATCTTCAGCAGAAAGATCCAGCAAAGAGGTTGATGTCCCTTTGTAGATATCCTCAACAATCTTCATGTCATTGCCGAAATCGTATTCGGTGTCGACAATTTCTTTGATAACATAACGACGCTTCTTGAGACGGCGCTCTTCCGGAGAAGGAGACTTGCTGGTCTCAGGCCGCAAAGGATTCTCTGAGGACGGAGCAAGAGACGTGGCTGAAGAGTCGGCAGCGCGAGGGGATTGACCCTCATTGTGACGCAGCAGCGAAGAGTTTTCGCTACTTCCCGGGCTATGTCTCATAATAGCAGGAGCAGACTGGTTGGTTTCGGCTTTCATATTGCTTAGAGGAACGGCTGGAAGTTCGCTTGCTGGCCTTTCCTCAAACTTTACTTGAGCCATCGTCATCGACGGGTTCATGGATGAAGTTGGGAGATGAGCTTGGGATGTCTGCTCCCTGGGAACATGGGTGTCAACAGTCTTGGGACCGTCGTTCGGGCCGCCCGAGGCCCCAGCGTCCAGTGTCGAAGGCACCAACCTGGGTGTTAGCATGTCTTCGGTATCAATGCCGTCGGGTTTATTTGCAGTAGCAGCGTGTTCATCATCAGCAGCGATCTGCATCCAGTCCATAATGGAAGGAGATGCATGCTCCCAGTCATCACGCCCAACCAGACTAGCCGTATGAGACAGTCTATCCGCAGGGACGTCCTGGAATCCTGGAACGACGACTGGATCATCAGTGAGACTATTGGCTCGCCCATGCCCACGCATATCCATAGGATGAGTTCGAGGCTCGGGCGAGATACGAACCGTAGGCACGGGGATATTGTGACCTGTGCCTCGAGTCAACTCTTCAAGGTAGAGCTGCGTAACACGCTTCGAATCCCATCTACCGAGCCGAGCCAAGTTGGGTGGCGTAGAGAATGCATTACCGGCTGTATGCGACTCTGATGCCTGAAGAGTGCTCGGTCCTGTTACACCGTAATCCTGAAGAGGTGACGAATATTCATCGTCGGCGATGGAGGCTGGTCTGGTTGAGACAACTGAACAAGTTTCAGTTGGGGGCTCTGTGTCACGGCCTGCAATAATACTATCGTCACAGCTTTCATCATACTGCTCGTCACAGGTGGAATGCTGATTTTGTACAGAAGAGGACCATGAACTCATACTCCATCTGTTCTGAGGCTGGTTCATGGCCGATGCCTGTTGCATTGATGTATGCTGAGGCTCTTGGGTGTCGGTACTACTTGATGAATTGTAGTAGGTTTTCGTATCTCCGAGCATAATTTGAATAGACTCCTTGTCATCGGTTTCCGACATACTGCAATCCGGTTCATCGCATGAGTCGTCGCTTGGGCTAGATTCGCGGATTTGCATAATCTGATTCAAGATAGTCCGGTGAGATAAGCTGGGGTTCCTCTGGAGAAGCCCAGACTGCGGCTCCGGGTCGAACGTGGTAACGTGGGTATCGTTGGAATCGGTTGTGACAGCTGAGCATGGAGCTATATCCTCGGAAGGCTGCAGCTCGTCTCCCATAGACGGGCCCTTGTTGTTTACTCCCTGCGGCAGACCAAGAGTGGGAGAGTCCATTGTCGTATGTGGTGCCGCGATGTCTGATGCCGGGAGCGAAGTATTGAGATGTAGCTTCGGAATTCCTTGCGCACCGTTTTCCTTGAAGACGACCGGAGTGGTCGATTCTTTGACTACAGTAGCCATATCTTCGGGTATTGGAGGATTGGCCACAGGTGGAATGGGTGTAGTTAAAGGTTCTTCTGTTGGTGTCTTGGAAGCTTCATTTGCCTTTCGGTCTCGAACCAAAGCGCGGCGTCGAAGCTCTGCTGCAGCTTCTTCCTTTCGTTCATTCTCCTGGACCGTCCGATTGAAAGCCTGTTGGATGCGCTGGCGGCGAGTTTCAAGATCGACATTACCAAACTCAGGGATTCTGCGTTGCCGAGGCCGAGAGCGCGGGCCGTTATGCTCGACTTGCTTTTGTAATGACGAAAGTGTACTACCAACTCTCGAGCGTGGAGAGACCGAGGCACCATGTGAGACGGGTTGTCGGGGTCGCGAGCTACGCAAAGGAGGTGATTTTTTGGGCGGAGGAGCAGCGATGTATGCCTGAAGTCGTCGACTGGATTCGGATAATTGATTGCGGGTTCGGCCAACTGCCAGGTCTCGTCTGCCATGCGAGGCTATCGCAAACGAGGCGGGATCATCCTGTGGCATGCGGGATGGGCTTTGTTTTGGTGACGCAATAGGAAGGCGGCTGATGCCCTTGGGCGGGACGGTAATGGCAGCAGATCGGCTGCTGAATGTCGGGTTCGAGGTGGGCGATAGGGCGTCCGGGCCGGAAGCAGTGACAAGACGGTGCGAGGAGACAGGAATGCGAGACTTGGAATTTGGACTGTCCGGGGGACTCTCACCGGCCTTTGACCGCTGCAAGGGCGCACGAACTGCCATTTCAGGTTCCCAAGGCTCGGCAAGGGGTTCTCGTGAAGGATTTCTATCCAAATCACTTCGTACTCTGCGGTGTTTTCCACTGCTTACTCCACCGTGGACTGCCTCTAAAGAAGTCGTGTGTCCAAGATACCACGCAGTAGGGGTCAATGGTGACTTTGCAGAGTATTCGGCTTGGTCGATGAAAGCTGGATTTGGGCTTGGGATACTTCCATCAGACCCACGACGTCGCAAGTGCGATGGAATTCCAAGGCCAGTGTTGTTGACCTGAGTGTTGATCGACAACACTTCACCACACAAAGGCCGCCGAGGATGCGACTCTTGTATCCGTTGAAACAAAGGCGGCGGAATTGCGTTCGTGCGGAGAGGTGCCGGAACAAACTTCCCGACTTCTGGTGATGAAGGTATGGAATCTAATGCACGAGGATAACTGGTGATAGATGCTGGCGAAGAATCGCGAAGGTGACGATGGCGAGACAGGATACGAGGTCGGTCAGTGTCTTCAACACTACTGCCAGAAGGACTCGCTGCTCGAGAGGTCGAACGAGATGCGGAGGGTCGGGGGAGAACCTGGTCGGAGGTATTGTTGAACTTGTTGATCAAATCTTTGAACGAAGCCTGGCGGGATCTGGGACCTGGTCGTGAAGCTATGTCGGATGGGCCTAAGCTTGAGGAGTCTGATGCTGAACGGTATGTTTGTCGCCGGGCACGCGATGACTCCAGAACATTTGTTGGCAGCGGTGACACTTTGTCACCCATTTGTGGATAGTCGGCCGCAGCCATGCCTGTTGTCACATCGCTGAACCCTTCGCTAACATTGGACGTTGCCAAGGCCCCACGGCGGTAATAGTCGGCAGGGTCTGGAGACTGCCCTCTATGCGACTCGGTCAAATGATTGGAAGAATGCGGGTCACTGAAAGTCGGAGAATACGTGGTCGAAGGTGCTGGGTTGAAAGGTACGGTCGGCGAGTCTAAAGAGTGGCCAAAGGATTGTCGCCCAAACGGGAGCGGCTCACGATCCCGAACACCAAAAGCCTGTTCGTCACCGCCAGACATTTTGCATGCTTCAGGCCGATCGACGTGGACTGGCACCTTAGGGAGCTGATGCGTTGTTCCGGGATGTTCGCCCAACGAGGATGTCGCAGGTGAGTCGGTTCAGGCTACAAAGCAATCTTCTCGGGTGGCGCACACCCATTCAGCATTCATATTTGAGACACACGCAAACCTCACACCGAGGGGAGTTCCCCTTCGAATCCAAATCAAAATGTGGGGAGATTCGGATCGGAGATTTTTTGGGTAGTGTCAGGAAGAAGATCGGCTTGAGGCCGACGCCAGAAGAAGCCAGGAAGCAGACGAATGGGAAGATCGTAGGCGAAGGCGGGAGTGACGTTTGTTCGTCTCCAGCGGGCGCTGATAGGCGATCTGGGGAGGGGGACAGAAATCCTGGTGGGCCGGTTTATTAGCTCTCCGGTCCAAGCCGTGCCTAAGTACAGAGTAAAAGGGGGGGGTCACTTACTACCGACCGTCGATCCCTGAGGTGGTGAAAGAGAGGTGGGGAAGAAAGAAGGAAAGAGGTAAAAAGACAGAAGAAAGAGAAGAGGAGAGAGGAAGTGAGGCGAGAGGAGGCCTAGAATGGTTCACGATCAAAAGAAAAAAATGGCGAAACAATCCCAAGTCCGAGATTTAATGGTTTAATTTGAAGGAGAGGTTCCGCATAACTTACATGATATTATATTATATATTACATCATAAATCATAAATATTACATTAACTTACTACTTACTATATTTATACTGCTATACTGTTCAGCCACATGGAAAGTATTCAGGAACAAGTAACTTCGCGTCTTCCCCTGAGTGGAGCTGACGGCCTTTTCTAGACCGCCCGTTCCATGGTTCATTGCATTGTTTAATTAGAGCCTCTGATTGGTCATTCCCAGCCTTACGCGGTTTCACGTGGAACATATCGAACATCTACCTAGGTATAGTTGTGTTTGGATTCAACACCAGGTCAACAGGTCAACAGGTCAAGGTTAGGACCTAAGTTGGGTTCCATTCCTTTACCCAAACTCTTCCGCGTGACGCGTTACCCATTGACGCGCAGTGCACTCATAATGGGCAAAAAAAGAAAGAGACCCATCAAGGATCGGGGTCCGCCTTCGTCTCACCCGAGTATCACCAGCTCTCCCCGCCGTTTCAGGAACCCGACCCCATCCACTGGGAAAACAAGCCATCCCGTGATCTCCCTGTACTACCGACAGGTAGTGACCTTGCGAGAGTACCTCCTAGAGCAACTGCCAGTGACGTCCAAGTCGCGTCGGCGCCGCATCCTGGCAGGTTCGCGAGCCGACGACCCAGCATCCCAAACATCCCAAACACTGGCGCATCTGCTGGACTCCACTCTAGTGGGTGTGCTGAAGGAGTCCTCACCGACTCTCAACTCCGAACGCCAAAAGGAATATCTGTCTTTTACCCAGTCTCAGTCACGGTCTATTCTCGTGAGCACAGATACTGGTCCGGCCTGTCCGCAATCCGAGGTGCGTCCGTGGCTGCTGAGTAATCTTACAGACCTGACCACTGACCCTTGCTGCAGGTGGTTGATTTCGTTATTTGGAAACTGTTCAACCAGAATGGCTCTTATTCAAAGCCCCAGCATTTGCTGGCACATGGATTCCAACGCCCGGCTATGGGGTTAAATGCCCTTGAAACGAGCATTCCGGGCATTGTGTCTCAATTTCCCAATCAGAATGTCCGTACTCTCAAGGATGGTGCATGGGCAGAGGTCTTGGACCTGCTTGGTAGTAATGGAGACGAGATCATGATGCAATTGTTATTCGATTGCGGAGTTTTTGCGGCTATCAATGCTCGAAAAGGCATTTACTACCAACTAAGTGGTAGGTTTCGTCGATTTAATGGCGTAAAATATTGTGCTTATGATTTCCATACTAATAGGGTCACCGCTGTCAATACTTGAGCCGCTGAATGATGGCACAAGCCCCAATGAGCTCGCCAAGACAAAGACAAAAGGACCACCTGTCAGTGCCCGGGACCTCCCCAAGGAGAATGGCGACCGCAAACGAGACTCTGACAAGTCTGTTCGGGGTCCGAACAGCATCATCTTTCTGCGCCGGCGTATACTCTACGGACGAGCCGAGTCCAACGTGAGAACACCATCTGGGTTAGGAAAGACACGTATGTCCATCGCCGATTGAAGGTTGCATCCAGACCTTAATTGACTTTTTATTATAGATGTCCTTAACCGCTTCTCGTCGCTTGACTCAGCAGCGCAGACTGTGCATGTGCTGAAATATGTCTTTCCCCGGCAATTCGGCCTGCTGAACGCGTTTACGGTCGACCCAGATGGCCGCAGCAGCACAGATGACCTCAAGAGTTTCATGTTCCGAGAGAATGAAATATCTTCTCTGCAGGAACAGAGACCTCGGCGGGCCCCCCAAAATGGGTGCGTAGCATCAGATGAAGGCATTGAACAAATGAAAGTCCCTAAAAGGCTTCGTGGGAGTGCCATTGAGCTTACCCGGAAACTGCGGGCTCGCAATGCACGGTGCTCCTACGTGGAGCTGCTGCGATACTATTGTCCAACTGATGTGAGGCATTCCTATCACTTGCGGGTAGTGAGTAACTGACATCTTGCAGCAAACCGGTCCGCAGAGGCTTGGCGCCTTCGCCTCGGATATCAAGTCGGACATCAATAAAACCGAGCCTAATTCATCTATTCCATCAAATTTTGTAACGCAGGTACCACTTGGCCAGCTATCGTCAAGTACAACTTCGGCGCCGACACCGTCCGATGCCACGACGTCAACGACCCACACAGCAGGCGACTGCTGTGGAATTGAGATTGAAGAAAACCCCGCGATTCAGAAAGCCCGAATGAGTCTGACTGATTATGCCACTCCGACATCTTCGGTTTCCGCATTCTGTCGGTCGGTGCTCCAGAAATTGATACCCCGTCAATTCTTTGGAGTTGGTCCCGATGGCACTCACAACCTACGACTGGTGCTTCAAAACGTCGACCGATTTATAAAATTGCGCCGATTCGAGAGTCTCAGTCTGCACGAAGTGTGCAAAGGCATCAAGGTTAGTTGCCCTGTGCGTTCTGAGACAGACTCCATACTGATCGACACTCTAGATCACAAGCATTGCTTGGCTGGAGCCACCCCAGACCCAGACTCCAGCATCTGAGACAAGATCGAAGATCTCTTTGTCCGATTTGCGCAAGCGCATGGAGTTACTTCATGAACTTATTTTTTGGATCTTTGACTCAATTCTAATCCCTCTGGTTCGCTCTCACTTCTATGTCACCGAGTCCCAAACACACAAAAACCGTCTCTTCTATTTTCGCCATGATGTATGGCAGCAATTGATCGAGCAACCTCTCGGAGATTTAAAGGCTACTATATTTGAAGAGCTTGAAGCAAACCGGGCCCAGCGTGTGCTGGCACGGCGACCACTTGGCTTTGGTGCTCTCCGTTTGCTCCCCAAGTCCACAGGTCTCCGGCCCATCTTGAATCTTCGCAGGCGAGTCATGAAAGAGTCGTTTTGGGGCGGAAAGCGGCGCACGTTCCTTGCTCCCAGTATCAATTCAAGTATCACTCCGATTTACAACATGTTGAATTATGAGCGACAGCAAGCGCCCGCCAAACTGGGATCGTCCATGGCGTCTGTGGCAGAGATGCACCATCGGTTGAAGACATTCAAAGAGCAATTGACCGATCAATCGCCTTCAGAATTCAAGGGTCGGAAATCCAACATTCCACCCCTGTACTTCGTTAAGCTTGACATCCAAGCTTGCTTTGATACTATCCCCCAAAAGAAGTTACTCAGTCTGATAGCAGAGCTGGTCTCTGAAGAGGGCTATCATATCTCCAAACATGTGGAATTTCAGCCTGCTGCTCAACAAGGGAAGCCCGCGCGAAAATACATAGGTCGTGCTGCCCCTATGATGAAACCACAACACTTACCGGACTATATCAGCAATGAACCCGCAGGCCGAAAGGCCAACACTGTATTTGTAGACACGGTAGGTCAGAAAGACTACAACACCGGAGATCTTCTGGGGCTCTTTGATGAGCACGTGCGATACAATCTCGTCAAGTTGGGCCAGAAGTACTTCCGCCAGCGCAACGGCATCCCCCAAGGCTCTGTCCTTTCCAGCATCCTCTGCAATTTCTTCTATGCTGAGCTCGAGCGGGAGGTATTGGGTTTCATCAAACCCGAGAACGCTCTGCTCATGCGACTAGTGGACGACTTCCTACTCATCACCCTCGATGCAAATATAGCAACACAGTTCCTGGAAGTAATGATCCGCGGCCAACCCACCTATGGTGTCCGAGTCAACCCAGCCAAAAGCATGGCAAACTTCAGCGCAGCAGTCGATGGCATCCTGCTACCCAGACTTGAAGGATCACCTTTATTCCCATACCTGGGTAAGCTCATCGACACGCACACACTAGAAATTCACCGCGATCAAGACCGCATCCTTGAAGGCGGCGAATCAGCCGCTGTCACTCTCTCCAATACCCTCACCGTCGAATCCAGCCGCCTCCCAGGTCGCACCTTCCAGCGCAAAATGCTCTCCTCCTTCCGCTTGCAATTGCACCCTATGTACATTGACGACGGACACAACTCCCGCGCAGTCGTAATGGCAAACCTGTACTCGAGCTTCGTGACATGCGCCATGAAAATGTACCGCTACATGAAATCGCTCCGCGGCCGCGCACAGCCAGGATCCCTCGCTGTCAGTCAAACTATCCAAGCCCTCATATTGCAGACACAGGGCATGATTCAGGCCCGGCGTGCTGATAATTCCGGGTCTTCGTTTTCATGTTTCGTGCAGCAATCGCATGTTATCTACCTGGCAGCAGCAGCTTTTCGGTTTGTTTTGAAGCGCAAACAAACGCGCTATCGGGAGGTATTGGGTTGGTTGGATGATAAGATCAAACAGGCTCGACCTACATCTGACTCTCAGGCATTGAGGATGATGCGGGTTGTGAAAAAGAGTAATGAGAAGTTTGAGGAATGGCGGTTTTAAGTGGA